GGGGGGGGGGGGGGAGATCTCTAAATGTATGCATGTTCAGAGGGATGTCGAGGCCTTAAAATTCCAAAATCTTGAGCGACATAATTATAGACGGTCCTTTGTGAGAGTTCTGAAAGGACGGAGCGTCTTTTACCGAACGGTCGCGGATATTACAAATCGCGGATAATCAAGACCACGGAAAAAACGCAGATAATTATGACCTCGGGTGGTCGGGAATCATTTGTTTTCAAACGGTTGCGAACAATACAATTCGCGGATAATTAAAACCGTGTTCATTCCAAATCGCGGATAATCAAAACCACGGAAAATCGCAGAACGCACCTGACTTACTCGCATGCACGGTACCACAGAATGAACACTAATCAAAATAAACAAAATTCGTACATCTAGCGGTCTTCAGTATGTTATCAGCTACCAGGAAAGTCCAAGAAAACCCAATTCGGACCCTCAATGGGCTAGTTATCATCAAAATCCGGTTTCTCATTGAACAGACCTCGGACATGGTGATTGCTCTCATACCTGTGAGATTAGAGGGGCCCATTTTCAGTCAGTAAAGTTTCGATTTTTACGTAAAGTAACGAGCTAAAGTGAGTGTACTTTAGTGAAAATTAGTGGAATTTTGATGTCAAGATATTAGCAGCATGGCGAAAGGAAAGTTAAAGTACTACAAATCTAAGTCATTCAATCCAACAAAGAAATCCTTTGACAGGTCTGTGTACATTTTTACTGAGGTTCATGAAAAGTTTGCAGGAAAAACAAATTCAGTCACTTTTTGGTGAATTATGAGACTACATGATATCAAGTTCTTGCTAGCCCCTCCCCTTCTTCATTGACTTGAAACAGGGAATGGGGGTCCGCGACCCCCCTTCAACTAAGGCTCTCCGTTCCCTGCAACAGTATACTGAGGCGTCTGCAGCCTCTTTGCATCGAGGGCTTTCTAGACTATTACAAGTTTGGAAAGTGCCACATTCTACTGTTAGTAGACACTTTCAAGGATGGCTCGCTTAATACTGAGGACCCTGATTTCAAAGGCTGTTTCTGTATTAAAGATTTGGAAACATCCATTGTTGCAGATAAGAAAAGGTATGCTCCTTTCATAAACGATCTAGATGAAAAATTTATTTATCCGAGATTGGGCAAATTTTAAATGTTTCTTCAAAATGTTGAAGCAGACAAGAAGACTTACTTGCTTAGGTGTCTCAGGATAGGGAAGTCAGTCAGGGAAAAAGTACTCCTTTGATGTACGAATCACGTGTCCTAGAAAAAAAAGAGATTCGAGAGTCAGATCAGTGAGAGTTGTAGTGCAAGATTAAGAGACATTTTGAGGAACTATTATGGCCTGCGACATTGCTGGAAGTGCCTCACACTGACAATCAATCTGGAGAGTTCTGAGTGTGAAAAAATCACTGAAGAATACTGGGACTTCTGCTTCTTCGAAAATATGTTTTAAAATTTTGTTAGATGCATTATCAATAGACTTGAGGGGATACAGTTGAAAAACTGTAACGCCTCAGAGTAATTGACAAATAATTTAATCTCAGTCACACCGGAAAATATTATACATTTAGTAACAGTTTAGGAGCCACCAAGTCTGAAATGGTAATTTCATTGATCAAAACATTCTTTCTCCCGAATGATTTAAAATGCACTTATTCGCAGCTTACATGTTTCATTTCCAGAATCATCAGTTTATTTTATTTTTTCTTGTCTTTGGTTTCAGGTATAATCTTACAGGAATTGTGATGTATGAGGGTGAGGTAACCACAGGCACCTCCGGCCACTATGTTGCATATGCGCGAGATCGGAATGGACGATGGAGGCTGTACGACGATCTCGCGGACGATGTACAGATGGACCCACCCATACAAGGAGATATGAATCCTCACATTATAATGTATGCGATTGCAGAGTAATCAGGTGCGTTACGACAATGGATTAATTTTTTTCTTATAAATTGTATTAGTTATGCTTTCAGAAAAGGAGGCTTTCATGAAGCATAGATATAACTTTGGAACTGGAAAACCAAATAATCAGAATCCTAAAGAACAATTAAGAATAAGTGAACCAGTTTACTGTAAAAGTAAATATTGAAGTAAGAATACTGAGAGCCTCTTTGACCAGCTGATTCCAGGAATGCTAAATGTTAAAATATCTTAAGTTTTTTATCTTCATATGTTGATCTCTGGGCCGATCCTTAATTTTTGAAACAGAAATATAATGGGGGAAGGACTCGAAGATGGACGGTTTTTGAAAATTGAATGAAAATGTGAAAAAAAGTATGAAATTGGCGGCTTGGATGAAAATTACTTTTGCTAGACCAGAAGATATTGGGAAATATGCCTAATTCCTGTAAACTATGCTTCTTAACAGGACTGAAATGAGTGTAAAAGGAACTTACTGTAGTATGAAAGATTTGAAAAACCTCAGCTTCCTCAGAAAAATTTGCTGTGATCAATGTGAAATCAAAACATGAGAGAATAAACTTGGGTATCCTGTAAAAGGGAGGAAAGACTTTTTAGCACAGTGGCAGTATCCAGTTGGTAATTAAAATAATTCAACTTTGTATTGAATAAATAACAAATTATTGATAAATTCGATACCAAATGATAACTTTTGATATCGAAAGTAAAGTTGATATGGAGAGAGAGTGTAATGTGCTTCGATGCACCATTGAAAAAGTGGCCAAGTTCACACATGAATATTTTTCAAAAACTAGGTATGTTGCATCAATGCATCGGAATGATGGGAAAAACCAGCAAAATAGTTGGTCTGCCAATTAGGAATTCCTTCCACACTATTTTTCTTGTGTGGAAATCCAAATGCAGATTATTATCAACTAATATCATCAATTTTTCTTACCACAGGCCAACCAGACTGGATTTCTCTTCCTCCAATCCAAGGTTTTTGCTCTACATGACTAACATCACACATTCTTTATTGGCTTTGATAATCAGCCGCATTTAAGTATTTTTAAAATTTTTCCATTGTCCGTTGTTCTATTGTTCCATTGTTTTGGAATTGGAATTCCACCTTGATTATTGAAACCTGTAAATAATAATAATAATAATAATTTATTGATTCTTTTGAGTTGAAACAAAAGATTACAAAGTCAGACATTTTTTAGATCTAATATACATAATTTTCTAATTTTTTTGCTCTAAATATTCTTCAATGTTATAGCATACATTTTCCTTGCAAATGCTAGTTTCTTTCATATTTCTCTGCAGTTCATTGTAGATCTTCTAGCAATTGAATTCGGGTCCTTTGGCAATCATTCCTTTTGGTATCTCTGTTATACTTATGTTCATCTCATTTCTGCCTCTGTAGTTTACTTTTTTTCTATTAAATGTGAAGTAGTGCCTATTTCTATTTACAAACAAAACTGATTCTCTAATATATATTGTATACAGTCATTAATTCATTTTCTTTGAATATCACTTTACATGTTTCTCTTTTTTTAAGTCCAAAAATGTTACGTAGTACTCTTTTCGGACATTTAAATATTCTATCAACTCCTTCCGAGTTTCCCCAGAGCATTATCCCATATCTTATCATCGAGTAGATAAAGGCATAATGAAGCTTAATCAAACCAGCTCTATTTAGTAAATGTCTTAGTCTATTAATTGCATAGCTGTAGGATCTTAGTTTTTTCACTATCATGTTTATATGCTCATTCCATTCAATATTTTCCTGTAAAAGTTCAGTGGGTGAAGATCAAATCCCCATCCAGATTATAAAAAAATCAGTCAAACACACACGTGAAATAAGAGCGAGAGTTTTCAATCTCACGATAGAATGTGGGCAGTAATGTAAATGGAAATCTACCGAAGTCTTTTCTTGAAAACTTCAGTGATTTTTCTTCTCTATGTATAAGAAGAATATTTTGTGACAATTTCAAGGTATGATGTTGGCTCAATCTCCCTGTCAAAAATAGAATAGAAGCGAAGTTTTTGACACATCGCAACCAATGTACACATTTTTCCAGTTTGATTAAACCTTGGAACTTTTCACGAATTCATTGTCATGATTCAGAGAAACAAACATTTATGGAAGGGTCCGATTGTTGTAAAAATGCTTAAAATTCAATTTTCTTATTCAAAGCAGTTAAAGGTTTTTTTTTTCCCCCCTAACATTCAAAATATGTAACTCAAGTCTGTAATGAAAACCTAAGTTAAGTCTCGTGACAGAAAGTGTCTCTCCAATCTTTAGTTACATAGAAATAAGTTGCTCTTTCCGTTGATATGTGTCTTTTAAAGGTCTTGTTCAAGCCAAACAATAAATAGCTGTGGTAACCAAAGGAACCCAAAATGAAGGTTTCCCAAGACTGACTTTTCCTAAATGTCTTTCTTTTTTTTAAGCGAGGGAAGTCTCCGATGATTAATTGGTTTTGCATTTACTTACACAATGAAATCATTGTGAGTTTTCTATTCAAGTTTACTTTTACGTAAAGTTTTTATTATTTATTTAATTTTTCTAATAGTGTTCAGAAGTTTTAAGTCTGTGATGAAACTTAGAGGAAGTATATTTCATAATTTTTGAATCCCATAATCCTCTCAGGTATTCTTTACGTCTCCAAACTTTAATCTGGTCGCAGGACAAAATGATTCAATCTGTTTAAAAAAAACCAAGTGTTTATTTTTATTAACTTTTGAGGAAAAGTTGAACTTTTTCAACAAGGCATTTTTAAGAAATTCCCAATCTAAAACTTCAAAACATCCCTTGACAATGGGAACTAAGTATCAGAGATTGTAGCTTCTTCTGATGAGAGTAACCCTTTCTTTTATCGTCTTTGAAAATGTATTGTATTCATTCTTTATTTCAGGAGGTGATATTTCATTCCTATTTTCCATTAAATTATTTTTACTTTCTTCTTTGAAATTTGATTTTCTCTTCACTTGATCCCACAGTATTTTTAACAGGTTTTTACTATTGTTCATGGCTTTTTCAATATGCTCCAACTTCTTTCTTTGTAATAATGTCAAGTATTTTCTTTGAAAACTTTTAAAACTTTCATTTGCCTCTTCTGAGTCATTTGCGTACTTTTGTAATGTTAGATTCAGCATTATGATTAAAGTCATTGATATGAAGGAATTGTTGAAAAGCTTCTATAGTCATGGAGTGGCGGGGAGAGATAAGCTCTTGTTAGTGGCAAATAAGAGTTTAGCCACCGAGGGATGAAAATTGGTTCACTAGAAGTTTGGCTTGTTTTCTTCATAGTCTCCTTTATATGACAGTAATTAATGGTAGTTCGTATTAGACAGTAGTTTGATGAAAATTTTGTTCCCTTTTTTCTTACTTTGGGAAATGTATCAACATCCTAATCGTTATCCAAATTGTAAAAATAAATCCTCACTTACTTATCATGAAGGTAACGACGGTGATCCACAATGAGGAAAAGCAGTTGAATTCATTTAATTTCAGGCAGGGAGGAGTCACATTTTCTTCTTTAGATACTGATAGTAAGCCGAAAAGCCAAATTCATGATGAATAGTGAGATTTCTCACATACAAATCACGAAACTATTTCACTTCACACAACGCGACAGATTTGTTTGTTTTCATTCGCACATTCGAGGAAACTTTGAGGTTAGGTTTCGTAGGTAACAATAACAAACATTGGAAAACACGGGAGGAAGAATCACAGACCTCGAAGTGGAGTCAGCAATTAAAAAACGCTGAATTCAATTTAACTTTGTTTGGCCTGAAATTTTCGGAGCATCAATTTAAAGCAATGGGCTTGACATTTGCGATTTAGATGAAGAAAATTAAAGGGTTAATTTTAAAGAAAACTCGCTCCTTCTCATGCAGTTGCTCAGAACTCACATGAGGTGTCCTCACCTCTGAAAATTAGCCGGCTTCAATTCTTAATTTTCTACAATGAAATTTTGAGTGCAGATCGATTTAACGTCTGGCAACAGAAGTGCGATTCCAAAAATCTGATATTCTGACTCTTTTTTTCAAAGAGAGTCCATTTTCGTCACGAGAGTCGCGTAATGGCGGCTTTTCGAATTTCGCGGTTCTTTGTCGACCGTGGCGCGATCTCTTATCACAGATTCTCAACTCGACAAGCCATCGAATCACCTTAATAGACGAATTTAGTGTGACGTCACATCTCGTTATAATTTCGATACCTCGAAAGTCGAAACGTGCCCCAGCAAACGAACATGGAGGAATCTGCGGGATATGGGCATAGAGTACAATAGAGTCGCAAACTCGCAATGTACTGGAGCGCCGATGAAGTCAATCCATTAACGGGCCTTTCCGAGCCGCTTGTGCTCCGAAAAGTGTGAACCAAGTGTGAACCCGACGGCACCGGGACAACACAAAGTAAACAAGTAACAAAGTAAGATCACTGGAAAGTGATATTAGATATAAATTGTTAACTTAAGTTTTAAACAATAACTTTTGAAGTTAAATAAATTAATTAATTTTATTAAGTTGATAATTTAAAGGTTTAGTTAAAATAATATTAATTTGTCAAATTAAAGTTAGATTAAAAAGATCTAATCTTTAAGAAGACAAATAACTAAATAAAAGTATATCAATTACACTGATAAAATGATTAAACTAATTATCTACTACCGCCACAAATCAAAGCCATCAAAGCCACATCATTGTGGCTTATGGAGAAATCAAGAAATACTTGTGTTTGTTCGACATTTTTAATTCAATCATCATTAATTTTTGCAAATTTTGCTGCAAACGGGTAGTTAAAGCCATAGTGAATCCATTAATGTATCATAATCTTGAATAATATTCCAAAAAGGAAGTAAATTATGAGACTTAAACCAAGTGTGAACCGACAAGCATTTCTTATCACGGCGGCTTATGGGAAAAGCAACGACTGCTTGTGTTTTTTCGACATTTTTTAAGTCAATCGATATTAATTTGTGTAAATTTTGCTATAAATAGATGGTCAAAGCCATAATGAATCCATTCATGTATGTTACTCCTGGATTTTATTCATACAGGGATTTAATTTCTGACCAATACAAAGTGTGAACCAAAGCGGCATTTCTAACACGGTGGCTTATGGAGAAATCAACAACACTGCTTGTGTTTTTTCGACTTTTATTAATTCCATCTATATTAATTTGTGCAAATTTTGCTATAATTAGATATTCAAAGCCATAATGAATTCATTAATGTATGTTACCCCTGGATAATATTCGTATATGGACTCAATTTCAGACTTATTACCGGCCTACTTGGCTGGTTCAATGTGTGGGGACCTAGCCGACGAACGGAGCCGAGTCGGGAGTGGGGAGCGCTGAGCGCGAGTCTCTGCGTATGCGTCGTCGCTAGTCGCGGCACACTAGTCTCCGGAGAACTGGACAAAACAGCCTCGAAAAGTGACTTCAACGGCGATCCAGTACTTTGCGACTCTATTGTACTATATGGATATAGGCATTTCGATACCTCGAAAGTCGAAACGTGCCCCAACAAACGAACATGGAGGAATCTGCGGGATATAGGCAGGGGGGTAAGGGGTATTCGTTGATGGCTGTCTATGATATTACGAGTTTATTTTACAATCAATTCTTGTGATGGTGATCTCAAACGTTTTGGTAAATGAGTAGCTTTCGTAATTTTAAAGTCCCATGGATTAATTGTTTGGTTTCAGGCTAGTTTTAGCATTATTTCGTCAATTGTTCATTTTGGAGGTTATGTTTGTTTGTTGGGGCACATTTCGACTTTCGAGATATCGAACCACCAATATTGTAATAGAATGGGGCCCTATCACTTACGTTTTAGGACCACATTCCATTATGCTTTCTAGCTCATTCGGGCCGAAAGCCATCGATTTCGCAAATGCGGGCTCAGGCGAGCATTTGGATGTTTAGAGTTTCCATCTCGGAGCGCCGATGTATCTCGCAATCACGTCTTTGACGTCATCGCGTCATCGGACGCTACGAGATGTATGCTCTCGAGATTCGCGGCGGATTCATTCGTATTTCGTACCTACGAGGCAGCGAGTATAGGAGCATCTAGCCGTCTAGATAGAGTATAGTGCATCCCGTGTATACTGTTGCTTTCTATTTCGAGATATACATCAGCTCTACCATTTCGAGTTACGTGTACGGATCATTTCATCCTCCCCCCCCCCCAATACTCAGATTATAGGAATAAAAAACAAGCCATTACAATATCGCTCCGTGACGTCACCACTAAAATCGTCTATTTTAAATTTAATCGGAATATACTTGAGTGGGTCTAGAATGAGGAAAAAATGACATTGAAATCCAGTCGGCCATTTTACCCTTGCTATTGGCCGCCATTTTTAGTGTATTTTCCGAAGAAAATACACTATTGCATTCTCCCATGATGTCGGACCCAGACCCGAAACCTTTTGAAGAGCACCGATCACGGGTCGTAGATCACGAAAATATATGCAATTCAAATTCATGTGTATATACATATGTATATAGGAAATTTACCTTATTTATTCAGCTTGCAGCCATAAAAAATCGAAACATTAGTTCCTACGCATCCGCAACGTTTCGCCCCGCATGGGGGGCATCCTCAGGCAGGCACACATTATAACTTAAAAACTATTCATAAAACTGATCGATTGTCCACGCGAAATGTTAAAATCGTCGAATGTCTACGCGGAAAAATAAAAACTTTTAAAAACACGAGAACTAAAACTACAACGGTGGCCACCACGAAACTCCGACTCGTATAACTGCTTGAAAACTGACTATAAACAAAGAGAGCCCGTCACCGCGAGGAGTAAATAGATAGCACACGTAAACAATCAGAAGAAAGCACTGTACGCCGTGCCCAGTACATCGGTGTCAGTTCTGAAATTAATGGAGTTTGAGCACCGTTTAATCTGTATGGCTTCATGATACAGCCTTGCCCTGAAATTGGGTTCCCTGACAAGTACTTCCGGATTTTTGAAGTTAAAACTGTGCTGTTGTTCTTGGCTGTGTTGGTGCAAAGCAGTTTTCTCCTTTTTGTCATACTTGTGTGACCGTATTCGTTCCCCTAGGTAGCGTTTGGTATGACCTATATAGGCAACATTGCAATCCAGACAGTTTATCTTGTAAACAACACCGGAGGTCTTTTCAGTTGGTACTGTACTCTTCAATTTCGAGAAAAACCGTTTATTCGAATTTGGGTTACTGAAAACTGGAAAGAAGTTATAGGGCTTCCAGCACTTTTTCAATTTTTCACTGAGTCCCCTTATATACGGCATTTTCACGACATTGCCAACATCTACTTTCTCCTTCGAAATTTTATTTTCTTCTTTCTCGCAAATATACTTGCATTTACGCATCATCTTGTCCAGTAGAGTAGGTGGATAGCCATTTCCTAAAAGCAACGTACGTGCTCTATCCATGCTTTCCTGGCGGTATTGTTTATCTGATAACTTGTAGGCGCGTTGAAATAAATTGCTCACAACATTTGCTTTCCAATGGAAGGGTACATTTGAAAAATAATTCATGTACCTACCAGACGATGTTGGTTTTTGATACCACTTCGTGTTTATTTTTTGACCTTCATGATGGTCTATGGTCATATCCAAGAAATTAAGTGATCCATTTTTTTCCGTCTCTATGGTGAATTGGATTTTAGGATGAAACGAATTGAAGTGCTCTAAAATGTATACATGTAAATTTTTTGGAAAACATGTGATGCAATCGTCTACAAACCGTTTATAGAAGGTTACACTGCATTTAAGTGAGGCCAATATTTTCCCTTCTATATATTCCATTACCAAATTTGCTATCACTGCTGAAACAGGTCCTCCCATCGCAACACCAGAAATTTGTTGATAAAATTCTTCTTGGTACTGAAAAAAGGTAGAAGTTGCACATACTTTTAATGCATAGAGGAACTCCTTTTTCGGCAATTTAGTATGGTGCTTGATCTTGTCCCAATATTCCTCTATGACTGTTTCGATTAATTCGAGTGGGATATTTGTGTACAAAGAAATAACATCTAAGGAGGCCAGCATGTAATGCTCCGGAATTTTTTGGTGTTTAATGAAATTACGAAAATGGAAGGAATCCTGTATAAAAGACTTAGTCTTTCCAACCACTTTGGACAATGTATTACTCAAAAACTTCGACATCTTATAAAATGGGGAGTCGATACAACTGACTATAGGCCTTAGTGGATTACCCGGTTTGTGAAGTTTGACAAGTCCATAAATCTTGGGGGCCACAGCATTTTTTGTGGTTAACCATTCCATCGTTTGTTTGGAAATTAACCCTCTTTTGCACCAGTCATTCACCATGGTGTTATTTTTCAATTGCTGCGTGTTCAATTGCTGCGATTGTTGTTAAAAGTATGTGCAACTTCTACCTTTTTTCAGTACCAAGAAGAATTTTATCAACAAATTTCTGGTGTTGCGATGGGAGGACCTGTTTCAGCAGTGATAGCAAATTTGGTAATGGAATATATAGAAGGGAAAATATTGGCCTCACTTAAATGCAGTGTAACCTTCTATAAACGGTTTGTAGACGATTGCATCACATGTTTTCCAAAAAATTTACATGTATACATTTTAGAGCACTTCAATTCGTTTCATCCTAAAATCCAATTCACCATAGAGACGGAAAAAAATGGATCACTTAATTTCTTGGATATGACCATAGACCATCATGAAGGTCAAAAAATAAACACGAAGTGGTATCAAAAACCAACATCGTCTGGTAGGTACATGAATTATTTTTCAAATGTACCCTTCCATTGGAAAGCAAATGTTGTGAGCAATTTATTTCAACGCGCCTACAAGTTATCAGATAAACAATACCGCCAGGAAAGCATGGATAGAGCACGTACGTTGCTTTTAGGAAATGGCTATCCACCTACTCTACTGGACAAGATGATGCGTAAATGCAAGTATATTTGCGAGAAAGAAGAAAATAAAATTTCGAAGGAGAAAGTAGATGTTGGCAATGTCGTGAAAATGCCGTATATAAGGGGACTCAGTGAAAAATTGAAAAAGTGCTGGAAGCCCTATAACTTCTTTCCAGTTTTCAGTAACCCAAATTCGAATAAACGGTTTTTCTCGAAATTGAAGAGTACAGTACCAACTGAAAAGACCTCCGGTGTTGTTTACAAGATAAACTGTCTGGATTGCAATGTTGCCTATATAGGTCATACCAAACGCTACCTAGGGGAACGAATACGGTCACACAAGTATGACAAAAAGGAGAAAACTGCTTTGCACCAACACAGCCAAGAACAACAGCACAGTTTTAACTTCAAAAATCCGGAAGTACTTGTCAGGGAACCCAATTTCAGGGCAAGGCTGTATCATGAAGCCATACAGATTAAACGGTGCTCAAACTCCATTAATTTCAGAACTGACACCGATGTACTGGGCACGGCGTACAGTGCTTTCTTCTGATTGTTTACGTGTGCTATCTATTTACTCCTCGCGGTGACGGGCTCTCTTTGTTTATAGTCAGTTTTCAAGCAGTTATACGAGTCGGAGTTTCGTGGTGGCCACCGTTGTAGTTTTAGTTCTCGTGTTTTTAAAAGTTTTTATTTTTCCGCGTAGACTTTCGACGATTTTAACATTTCGCGTGGACAATCGATCAGTTTTATGAATAGTTTTTAAGTTATAATGTGTGCCTGCCTGAGGATGCCCCCCATGCGGGGCGAAACGTTGCGGATGCGTAGGAACTAATGTTTCGATTTTTTATGGCTGCAAGCTGAATAAATAAGGTAAATTTCCTATAAATATTACAGCCATTTTATCTTGATATTTTAGCCAAATATAGCAGTGATGAGGAAGGTAGTGGCGTTACGACTGCGACAAGAGACTGCGATAAGAGAAGCTACTGAAAAACTGCAGCGAACGGTGAATAAAATCGTGGACTGGACTTGGGAC